TCAAATTCCTCGCACAACAACACATATCACGTGATACATTAAGTCCCATTCGCAAAATTTTGCTTCCTGTATTATTTAACGGTATCGTCGTATTGTAAAACAGACGACGCTCTTCCTCCTGCAGCCGATCGGTTTATTCATGTGTCGTTATACCATAATGATGTGTCGCCCAAGTTTGAAAATCTTGATATTCGTCGTATGTAGCCTGATAGTTCGATGAATTCTCTGTCGTCTGCTCTGCCGTCATTCAATATAGACAGTGAAACGAGACCACATTTAAAATTACTGTTCTACGGTATTTTATGTACGACGGATATTATATGTAACTTGTTTAGTATTTAAAAAAATTTTACCGGGTTCAAAATACCCCCAGCAGAACCGAATGGCTGGCAGATTAGTGCCATTATGACACCCCGGAGCAAAATGGTCGAACACAAACACACTGCACACTGTATATTTAATTTCAAAAATACCTACACGCGATTCAATTTGGCCTTATCGGAACAAAATGGCCGACCAGTTAACGATCTATTAGCAACCATAGACATAAACATCGATCACAAATACTCTGCATTACCATTACACCCTGTATATTTAAAATGACAGCCAAACACAGTAAACATTTCAAATTTTCCGCAAAAATTCAAATTTACCGCAACAACATGACGATCAGGAAATTCAACAATTCAAATCTCCCGCACAAATTTAAACTTGCCGCTACAAAATGGCCGACATCCGGAAATTAAAAAATTACAACTGACCACCACAAAACTAATCACAACGCAGCACTGTGACGTCAGAAAAAATAGGGTGAGGGGATAGTCGGGCTTTGAATACGGACCGCCTTGTACACCTGAGATGGGAAGGGGCAACTCTTGCATCTTCCATGGGCCGCCTTTTTCGCATCGACTTCTTTTTCCGTATCGATCGCCTTGTACACTAGAGAGAACAAGACGCATCCCTGGGATCTTCCATGGGTCACCTTTTTCGTATCAACCGCTGATTAACATCAACTCTCTTGAACAAACGAATGAGAGTAGTTCTACATAAAACGAGTTAAATAGTTAATATTCTAATTATGATGAATGAATAAAATTCTGCTTATCTGTAAATAATTTACACATGAATTATGCAAAACCTATAGAGAACTACTTACTGCAAATATGGTATAGTTAGAAATACATATACAGGGTGATTCCTATAGTACCTGCCACCGTTTGGGAGCGTATAGGGGGTGCCTAGGGGAAGTCTTTTCATATAGGACACTTGGGGTCGGAAATCCAAAATAAGGGCGCCAGAACCAAATTTATCTTCTGGAATTTCACGCCTGTATGTAGGCAACCCAACCGACCGACGTTTCGCGCGGAGCGATGCAGAGCGAGTTAGCGCGAGGAAGCGACATGGGAGGGAAGGAGGGAAAACGACAGTCAAAAGCAATAACGTTTACAAGTGTTCAACGTGGCCACCGTTGTTCTCAATGCACTTCCTACATCTAGCCAACCACTCCCCTCGAACTCGCGTGAAGACTCCTATGTCCTGGCGAACAGCCTCTCCGGCCATGACGACGCGCGCAATTAAGTCCTCTTCGGATTCGACGGGAGTCTCGTAGACGTGCGCTTCCATCACACCCCACAAGTAAAAATCTAATGGGGTGATGTCGGGCGAGCGGGCAGGCCACTCCACCGCACCTCCACGGCCGATCCATCTGTCCGGATAGGTTTGGTCCAAGTGTTCCCTCACCTGCCGCCCGTAGTGAGCAGGGCACCCATCGTGCTGGAACCAGTGGTCCCAGTACAAGTTCACTGGAACATCCATTAAAAGTTCTGGTAGCACCTCGCGCAAGAAAATCAGGTAATTATGGGCATTTAGACGCGGAGGGAGGATGTAAGGCCCCAGTAGGTTGTCCCCCAGGATGCCAGCCCAAACGTTTAAAGAAAACTTGTCCTGGTATCCTCGCGTAAACGTTTCATGAGGATTGTGCTCCGCCCAGTAGTGGCTGTTACGAGGATTGAAGGTCCCCTCTCTTGAGAATCCTTTCTCGTCAGTAACTAGCACGCTCCTCAGAAAGTTCGGATTAGCTTCTTCCTCCTGGACGACTAAGTTGCAGAATTCCAGCCTCCTTTCATGGTCACCCGGCCGTAACTCTTGCACTTTCTTAAACTTATAGGGGTGTAAGTTGTTGTTGTTGGCGATGTTCCACACTGTGTGTTGACTACAACCCACCTGATCTGCTACAAGTCGAGTGCTAGTACGCGGGTTTGCCTCGAAACGTTCCAACACATCCTCCTCTAAGGCATTTACCAACGGGCGATCGCGATCACGGGCGCTAGTGGGCTGCGAAATAGGAGGAGGTCGGTGTAAACAAACAAACTTTTCGAAATGGGTGCTTAAATGACCCAAGTATCGATGTGCATCACGAATCTGTGTGTAAAGTTAAGCCTCCGTCAGCTTACCTGCAATTGCCCTGTCTCGCACAGTCGGAAGTGAACTTCTTGAAAGACCTGTCTGCAGGGTAACTGACGGTTTGGATACCGCTCACCGTACGCTCGTCGTGCAGCTCGTGCGTTACCATTTGCCAATCCGTACATGAAGTGCATGTCCGCGTATTCCGTGTTAGTAAAACGTGCCATAGTGTTTATTCACTTGATACACGTCGTTGCAGACGGGATTTCGTGGGTTTAAACAAAATTCTGATCAAGTGTCAGCCACACATCGCCGCCTGAGATCGCTCCGTGTGCACCGCCGGCCGGTTGGGTTGCCTACCTACAGGCGCGAAATTCCAGAAGGTAAATTTGGCTCTGGCACCCTTATTTTAGATTTCCGACCCCAAGTGTCCTATATCAAAATACTCCCCTACACACCACCTACACGCTCCCAAACGGTGGCAGGTACTATAGGAATCACCCTGTATGGTATTACATCAGCACTCTCTATTTTTTTTAACATTTATTAAAATATCTGCAAAGCATTGTCGAAAAACTTAGAGAAGGAAAGAGAAATCTAAATCGAAAATTGATAACCTACCAAGAAATTTAAGTTGGCATTCAGGAATATTACGCACACCCTTGTCGACTTAAAAGTGATCATGAAATATGGGGTAATCGACGAAACTAACCGAACTTTTTATTCATATTATGGAAAAACAATTTTTTTATTGTCTTTAATAAATTATTCAAATCTACAAAAATATAATTTACCCAAAATCGTCCTGAAACGTTCATTTTCATGCCTACTTTATGTCAGGAAATTCCATGACAGAGGCAGAGAAGACTACCTTTCCTGCCGCTTGTCACTTTACCGGCCGCACCGTCACTTTACCGCATTTGTGACATTTCTAAATGTCTATAATGACTCCTGTCATCACTGACAGATTGACATTAATCAAAAGTTCTAAATAAAAATTGAAATTTTGTATTAAAAGAGTAAAAGACGATTTCGGGTAAAATTTAATAGAAAACTCGTCAGTAAAATGTCATTACCTGACTCGGAAGTTAAAGTACTCGGCTCGAAAGGGGCCTCGCCCTTCAATATTTCCTCGCCAGTAATGTATCATTTTCCTGACTTTTATGTAAATATCTATTAATTAATATTTAGAAAACCAGCTTACAGCCATTTTTATGACTCCGTATCTCTAAACTGTACTCCTAAAAATCCCTAACTTAAATATATCTAACATTATTGTGGTTCACGTACCATACCATCAAAACATTTATAATAAGAAAGTAACCTGAAGTGAATAGAATGGGTAAGATTTTTGGAGGGCAGATATTCCAAGGATGAGTTTTTGAAGACAAAATACTAGTTTTTCGAGGAAAATTATCCGAATTCCCACCATGAATTATTACTTACTATATTTAGATATGGAACAAGGCCTCTGTGTCAGAATTTTTGAATTTTTAAAAGTATTTTTACTTGGTATGGGAGAAAAATTGACATTTTCTTCTACAAAAAAGTATCTATCGCCTGAAGCTCTTTAACCTATGGAGTGGTAGTTTTCTAAATGGCCTTCTGTGGTCTTTAACATTGCAAATTTATGACTTAGACCAAAATTTTGTACACTTCCTCGCACAATGCGAGAAACGCATTAAAAGAGTTTTTATTCTACAACTTCACGTTCATCGAATGAAGTACGTTAAGCCATTTACCTGGAGTAGAAGGCTAAATATTATTATAAATATCTACCTTCTATAAAGATAAATTATAGCAAATATCTTCTGAATTCTTATGATCTTTGTCCCTCAAAAATATGGTTTAGTTCGCAGACACGCTTGATAACCTTACCGTCTGATAAACAGTCTAGATGAATAACAAAACAAAGATTTTTGTTTAGCTCCCATATAATAACACATTACAGACCCAAACAAGAATCCGTGATACAAATTTTCCACTGCACGGTCGACTTAGTATTTATTCCAGTGTGGCTTTTCCTGCACTAAGTTGAGCACCCTGGCAGAATCTAATGTAACAAACCATACTGAAGTCAAAAATTTCATTTAGTTGAATGACAATCAGTTGAAATCCAAGCTCTTGATGGATCTCAATGATACAAAGACAGCGGGTTACACCTTCTAACAAAGGAATATTGTTAAGTTGCCAAGCACAGCTTACACTAAACCATATTTCTACAATCTCTTCGGTACGGGGGCAGAATAAGTTGCGATGAATATGCTCTGCCCCAAGATGTCTGTCCGTCTGTCCGTTAGCACGATATCTCTTAGTTGACGGCTCCGTTCAATAATCTTAGTCACAAACTGCACACTTCAGATTTTTATGAGGCAAAATGACACCATCAGCTTTCTTAAACCCATCACCCTAGTCAAAATCATGAAACCCGATACCAATTCGAGACGTTCAGACGCTCTCACTTCCTAAAGCCATTAAGAACACAAAGCCAATCAAATGGGACAACGTCGAAAAACACATGTACGTTGACTGCAATTACCCAATTTGTTCTTCCCACCGGTTACCAAGACCATTGTTCATCTGGGGAAATGATAAAATTCGCTAAATAATTTAATATGAAAATTACTTCTTTAGTTATTTCTACGAACAATCGAAAAAATTAAACCAAATCTAATTTAACTAAGTTACCGCTTCACCTCAGAATAAACAAAATTCAAAGAACTGGGTACTACCAATGGCTAGGGCAGTCAGTGCAAAATTAAAGCATTCAAGCCACACTGGCCCATAGGACCGTGTCAACGATAAGGGGCAATCAAAAATAAAGGAAGATATATCAAAACTCTTACCAATGAGTCAACGGGAGCAAGATTAAAGTGCCCACGTTGGAACACTAAGAAAGAGAAGAGTAAAATTCGAACTCTTATTTTACATCGCCTTCACTGTTCTTGTGGTTCACGTTACATCGACGAAACTGGTAGATCAGTTAGAACTCGAATTTCAGAGCACGAACGACATGTTCCAGTTCATCATAGCTCTAATTAAAAACGGCCGCTATACTTTGTTTCAAGAAGCCTCTATCCCATTCTCCCATCTTCTATCAAAGAAAAATCCAGGAGGGCATTGAGAACACCCAAACAACTTGACGATGGATGGTCACTTTCTCCGCTCTAGAAATCTGTTATCTCACTGGCTGATGGGTCATTTTCTCAAATTTCTCCTGACGGAATAGGTTGAAATAGCTAGGTTTAGCCTTCTCTTTTTCAGTGTTCCAACGTGTACTTGTATCAATAATTATTTCCATGGTAACCGATGCTTCAAAGGTAAACAACACGAATAAATTATCCATTAATCAATAATCTATCTCTGAAACACCTAATTTTGTGGAACTGTGGACTTTTTGGCTTCTTTTCAGGAGTATTATAAGTGAATAAGATATGTACCTATTTTACTTTATTTTTGATTGTTAATTTGTGTTTTCTTCTCCTGATGAAGCCCCTTACGAAAGTGGACGAAACGTTGACTTTGCGTTCAACATTGACACGGTCCTATCCCAGAAGTCGCTCGCATACCACCAGCCGTTTTGATGGCAAATTCCATGAATTCAGAGATCGTGCTAACAACTTTTTCATTCATTCGCCGGTTCAAAGATCCTAAGTACTCTCAGACAGTGCCCTTTTGAGTGCTCTAAAATTTGTCATTCACTACCCTTATGTTTCTATGATATTGTCACAACTCACAAGTGTTTTAGTTTACATTATTTTATGACTTGAGCAATTCATTTGCCACTTTCACGTGTCCGCGTGCAGAAGCAACATCAAATGGTGTAACGCCCCATTGGTTCCTAAGGGTGGTGTCGGCGCCTTTACTAACCAATGCGGTAATAATTGCCTCATCTCCGTACCACGCAGCAAAATGTAGCGCAGTATTGCCATAGTACACTGGTGAATTAACAGGTGCTCCGGCGTTTAAAAGTAACTTCACCGCATTTAGTTGATGCCTTAGAACCGCCATGTCTAACGCAGTTAGATTCGCCTTGTTTTGGAGTGTACTATTTGCCCCATTTTCTAAAAGAGCAGCAACAAGTGCGTCGTCCATGGTCAGGTGTAGATCGGCGTCGCTAGATCTGTTGGCAGCAGCCGCTCCCAGGTCTGCAAGTAATTGCAGAGTACCTAGGAATCCAAATATACTGGTATCTGTCTGCTTTTCAAGAATCGCGGCAACAGTGGCATCGGCTCCGTGCCATACGGCGAGGTGTAACGCAGTGTTGCCATATTTATTCGGTATATTAGCAGACGCTCCGGCACTCAAAAGTAATTTGACAGCATTTAAATGTCCTTTAAGCACCGCTATCATCAAAGGAGTTTGATTTGCCGTGTTGCCGCCGTTGTTGCCGTCGTTATTAGGTATATTAGCAGATGCTTCGGCATTCAAAAGTAATTTGACAACATTTAAATGTCCCTTCATGACCGCGACATCCAATGGAGTTTGATCTGCTTTATTTTTGAGAGTAGTATTTGGCTTCTTTTCGAGGATTGCGTCAACAATGGCATCGGCTCCTTGCCGTGCGGCGATGTGTAACGCATTGTTGCCATCTTTATTTGGTATATCAGAAGACGCTCCTGCATTCAAAAGTAATTTGACGGCAAATAAATGTCCTCTAAGCACTGCCGTATCCAAAGGGGTTAGATCAGCTTTATTTCTGAGAGATGTATTTGGAGCCTTTTCAAGAATAGCGGCAACTATAGCATCGGCTCCTAGCCAAACGGCGACGTGTAGCGCGCTGCCGCCGTGATCCTTATTGGGTATATCAGGAGACGCTCCGGCGTTCAAGAGTAATTTGACAACATTTAAATGTTGCCTCATAACCGCCACATCCAATGGGGTTTGATCTGCTTTATGTTTGAGACTAGTATTGGGGTTCTTTTCAAGAATTGCGGCAACAATGGCATCGGTTCCTTGCCATGCGGCGATGTGTAACGCATTAAAGCCATACTCGTTTGGTATATCAGGAGACGCTCCGGCATTCAAAAGTAATTTGACAACATTTAAATTTCCGCTCAGTACCGCCATATCCAATGGAGTTTGACCATCCTTGTTCTTGAGACTAGTATTTGGCGCTTTTTTGAGGATTGCGGCAACAATAGCATCGGCGCCGAGCTGAACAGCCTGATGTAGAGGGGTATTGCCATTTCTGTCTGCCAAATTAACCGAAGCCCCTCCGTTCAATAACAATTCTACAACATTCACGTTTTCTCTTTGAATTTCTATATTTAAAGGAGTTTCATCCTCCTTGTTCCTGATTGTAGTATCAGCATCCTTACTGAGAAGAGCGCTAATAATATCAACATCTCCTCGCTCGACGGCATGATGCAGTGCAGTATTGCCTTCGTTGTCCATTGAATTAACAGGCGCTCCTCTGGATAGTAATGCTACTACGACATTTAGGTGTCCACCTATAACAGCAAGGTCAAGTGGAGACCTTCCAGCGCTGTTCCTGGAACTAATATATTTGTCAAGGATATCGGTTACTTGATGAACTTCTCCATTCGATGCAGCACGATGCAGAACTGAATTTCCTTGCGAAGCTACGCTATTTGGCGCCCCGTGTACTTCACCTGAAACAAAACGTTACCGTCAGTCATAACCCAGGAAGGTTAACAAATAGTAGTTCTTTGGTACGTGTTCGTTTTTACGCCGCCGCCAACAGTTTAAGAGATTCATTGTCTGTTAAGCCAAAGCAACACAAAAAGGAGGATTCAAGATGGCGGGAAAATAACCGAAATACTCCGGGCAAAGAGTAACCATAAGGGCCAACTGCCGAAATATGATCTCCCACCCCGAACCATCTTGCAAAATCTCACACTTCGAGCCAACTGCCAAAACATCCAGGACCAACTGCCGAAATTTGATCTCGCATCCCGGGCCAACTGCCGAAAATTGACATTGAACCCCGCACCAATTGCCAACATTTGACCTTGACCCACGGACCAATTGCCAAAATTTGACCCGGGCCAAAGACTATGAATGTAGTGATTTCGGCTGCACTATCATCATCAGGGTGCAGCCTAATGAAGCTTTTTGATTAGACACGACGTGGTGTGGTTCGTGAAATAAATAAAATGTAAGGCCACGCCACTGTTTCCCTATAAGAATCATAGATGGCTCCTAAGGTCCCCTAAAAAATTAGCCCAAGATCATTAGGCGTACCATAACTGTGTACATTTTGATCGTTCACCTTCACTTTTTCCCAAGCCTTCAATCTAAGGATGACCGAGTGCTTCCCTGATCATTGCAAGGTACTCAAGTCAGAACTTTAGGTTCTTTTAAATGTGAACCTATGTTTTTCGCCGGTGGTTTCGTGTTACAAAAATTTTCCGAAATATTCCATTTTCCCCTTGTAGCTAGCTTCCTGTAACATTAATTTAAGAAATATTCACAATTCAGTTTTTACATCGCCAGTAGATGTGTCTCGTCTAGACGATCTTTCCGCCCTTTGAGAGTACCCTTTTCCGTCACTTCGTTTTGAATATATTTGCAGTTAAAGTTTTGACATCCTTAGTTGATACATCTCGTCCAGACGTTCTACTTACCCTTCATTAGTAACCTCTTATTCCCACACTTCCTTTTCAAGATATTCGAATCGACTTCAAACGATTCATTTTGTCAGGAATTTCGCTATTAAAGTTTTGAAATCACCAATATTTTTTTCAGACGTTCCAATCGCCGTTTATGAGTACCCTCCTCCGACAATCTGATCTTGTGGTATAAGGAATTATATCCGATCACGTTAAGGGGTTAGAAGAAGTACTATGGTTGCTAAAAATTAATTCCTTTTGTTGAGACCTTTAATACCCCCCTCCCCCCGCAATCGCCGCTGCCCTATTTTAATACAAAACTATCTAATAATAGTTTATTTTCCGAAAAAATACCTCAAAATGCTCGGAAATACCCAAAAATGTGAATGTGAATAAAGGTCTGCAGGACATGCAACTGCGGATTATATCAAACATTCGGTGCACAGCACTGTGCTAATCCCCCCTTATGGTTAGGCAACACACCTTACATCTGAAACAAAAATATGACATGCTCTGTATATAACCAATCGACCGTTCTGCGCAGATGGCGAAGACTAAGGGATTTTCATAACGAAGCTAGGAGAAAAAAATGAACGTGGCAGAATGAAGAAAATGGCGACGGGTCGATGGAGGGCATCGCGCCTTCTTGGGTTTTTCTTCTTGATTATTTAGGTTGTAGTGTTTCGAAGGTGTATTTACAGGTAGTAACCATTTTATTCTTTCTTGTACTACCTATTAATCATTGAATTTCTTGCCACAATTTGATATTATTTACATTTTACTGATTTTACATAACTGCGATATCTAAAAGTGGCGTACTCCATGCTTTTGTTTTTGAGTACCGTTAGATGAATCGTGTTTGTTTATACTGTACAGGTGATTATGCCATTATTTTGTTTTATTAAGTAGGTATTTATTTCTGTATTCACGAGGAGTTGATTATCGTAACTTTTCCGTGAGGGAAGTTTGATTGTTCGCTGTATCTGTTACTTTCTTATTCGTGGCGTGCTGCAGTCCTTGTGCGTTAGCTATACGAAGGGGGGCTCTTTTATTTGATGTTTCAATGTTTGTGTGTGTGTGTGTGTGTGAGTGGTTCACTCTGTCTCCGTGGAGTGGGTACAGTTCCATCTTTCGCTGTATCTGTTACCTACTCGTCTCGTGCGGATTGTAGTTCTTGGCATCTTAGCCATGCGAGATATTTAGGGGCCCTCTCATTAACATTTCCTCTATTTAAAATATGTTCTGCTTGAGCGATAATCGATTTTCAAATGAATACTTGCTATTGGTATTCTCACATGTACCTTTCGTGTTAAATTAATTTATGTTAACTGAAGGTTGGAGTAGAGCCACGACATTTTGATATTTCTTATGTACATGCCATTTATTTATTTTACGAGTTGTGTTATCTCAATTGATCGTACAGGTATTTTGATGTGTTTTTGTACTGAATTGCTTTGTGAGGTTTTCCACTGCATTTATGATGTCTTGTTTTTATGAACTTGTATAATTGCATTTGATTTGAGTATCTGATTTTTATCATACAATTTGAGATGTTTTATTTATGTGTATCTTCTCTTGCATTTTATTGCTGTAGGTGTTTATTTCATGTATTTGTGTGGCCTATGCCGGGGTTTTTGTCCCGCAGAAGGTTTCCCTATATATTTATTTGTTCTTGTCATTTTTACGCGCAAAAGTTCTGTCTTTTATTTAATTCCCTTCCCGATTATGTGTTACGTCCCAACACATGCAAGAACCGATTACACAACGTAGGAGTTCATTCGTGCCATCCAAATTCAAAAGTACCGCGAAACGTCCATCGTTTCGACTTGAAAGGTGGGTGGCTCTGCTTGTAGTAGTTTTTCCCAGAGTTGCCAACGGTAAGTATAGGGTAAGTCAACGTTTTCAGTGTTGACTTGATAGACCCTTAGGACCATTGTAGCGGTTTACAAGTGCAATTGCACTAAGTAGACAACACTGAAGTAAAATTAAAGTACGTATGATTTGTAGGGAAAATGCACTTCAAGTGATCGAATAATGCACTTAACATATCATAGAGTAATGGCTCAGTATGACCAAAAATAAAACAATAATTATCAATTTTATACCATAGCTTATGTAGAAACCTTAAATATACCAGTTTGAAGAAGAAAGGATCTTAAGCGCGCGCAATCGTAGTTAATATTCAGAAAATCCGCGTTAAAACGGTACTGTCACTTTTACGCTTGCATAACTTCCGGTTTACATCAACAACCGGGCGTGGAAGGTATACATGTATGGTACCATTTTAAAGGTCTTTTCACTGCCCACAAGATTGTAGTGAGCAAAAAATTGTGTAAAAATTCAAATTATTTCTTAGGGTCTTGAGAAGCTTCATGCAAAATTGAGTGCTTGTACCCGCTTGGTAAATGTAATCTAAAAATTTTACAACCTCACTATAATTCGCAATCTTCGGTACCATCCGAAACGCAATCCTACTATATGAAATTGAAATATCACCCAAAAATACCCCAAATTACCTAAAAATATCCGAAAAATTAATACCTACAGTTTGTACAATCAAATATCTCATTGGTTTCCCCCTCGATTAGAATACTATAAAGGAGATCGCGCGTGTGTGTGGGTCCGAACGGAGGGACAGATAAAACGCAAAAAGTAGCACATTTTTTAATTCTTAAGAAAATGCTCTAAAAATAGAAAACAAGTTAAAAAGTAATCGTAAACGATTTACATAAAGCGCATTTCCACTTGCATTCATTTCCCATTTGTAAGATGCAACTTCTGTTAAAATCGTAAAAATCCGGCCACAAATATGAAAGATAGCGTTGCACATGGGCAATCCATTTTTGACGTGCTACTTCAATTTCAGTTTATGAGAAGAAATTCATTTCAATGCTTTTCTAAATAAGAAAGTTGGAACTGCGCATGCGCAAACCTAAATTTTGAAACTAATGTTAGATTTTCCTTTGTTCCAAGCGCCTAAATATCAAATTTCACTTAAATGCTTCTATAAAAAGTTGGCACTGCGCATGCGCAAAATAAAATTTTGAAACTGGCGCTAGATTTTCCTTTATTCCAAGTGCCTATGTATCAAATTTCATTTAAATTCTTCCATAAATCAAAAAGTTGGCACTGCGCATGCGCAAAACCAAATTTTGAAATTGGCAGTTGATTTTCCTTTATTCCAAGTGCCTATGTATCAAATTTCATTCAAATGCTTTTATAAGTAAAAATTTTGCAATTCGGTTTATAAATGGTCGAGATGCGAAAAGGGCACTGTGAATTTTGAATCGATTCGATTCAACTTTTGGCGTTGCGTATTATATGGCTAAAGCTATGCCCATATTGAATTTCATGCAATTCAGTTCATATTTAACGGAGATGTAAAAGTGATCGAACATTTCTAAACAAAGTTATCGTTCACACGGACAGATAGATGGACAGACAGACAAAGGAACAGACGGAGAGACCAACCGGCAGGCGACAGATAGCAATGCAAATTTATAAACGATCTCTAGGATCGTTAATAAACGGCAAAAGTGTAAAATTATGGAACATGTAAAAAACGGTTTTTTGTTTTTTTTACAATAACTTTTTTTGTAAGCGGTACAGAAAATTCCTTCCTTGGTACAAAACTCGACATCATAACGAACCAAATAGCGAAAAAAGTAGAACAACAGCTCTTAAGATAAAGAACTAGTAGCGTCACAAAACGAGCGGACGGACGGACGGACGGAAAAAGTGGCCACGATAGCGCATTTTTTTTTATTTTTGTGAAAATGCGCTAAAAATGTACAAATATTTTTCAAAATAAACGGCTTCCGCCAAGTTTGATTATTAAATGAAATGCAATTCTAATAGGTATGAATAACAATCATGAAACGGAAACGGTACATTTTTTTTGCTCCTGCATAAGATTGCCTTGGGAAAGGTTGCTCTGCAAATGTAGATGAACCCTGGTTAATTTTATACCTGTCAATTGTCATTTTCTATAGGTAGCGTAATACAGCGTAGTACTATTTATAGAAGGTGTTTTGTGTTTATACTCTTCTTGACATTGTTCATGCAATAAATTAATTATTATGGGACTTTCCCACTGGTCTCGTATAAAACCACAGTGCCGACACGAATGGACTTGCCGCTATAGCAATTTAATGTGTACTTCGTGGTTCGTGCATGTAGACTTTTTTAATTTCTCAAGAGTCTCATATTCTTATAATTTTATGGATATTTTCGCTTCTCCAAATTCTCCAGATTCGTGAAATTATTAAACATTTTTTGGTACTTACCTATATAAAATTCAGAAGAATCGATTTGAAATTCTTCTGATAAATCCAATTCTGAAGATTCTTTCAATTCTTAGAATTTTCCCTATTTTTCAAATTTTTCAGCTCCATCAGATTCGTACAGTTACTTTCGTTTTCTATATTATTATTCCCATTTTTAAAATTGCCCAGATTTTTTAAATTCTTCACACTAACATTAAGCAAAATTTAAATGAATTTCTGTGATTACAACGCCACCTGTTACACGACAGAAAAATGTTTCGAATTAAATCTTCATAGGTACTAGAATCGAGATATGGAATAAAAAATTTTATATATTTATACAACGGGTGGTCTCATCCACGCTGTATATTACATATATTCCAAATCGTAAGTCTCTCACGCCATGGATTTTGGAACAACAACCAGTTGGTTGTACTCGTCTTACTATAATGAAATATTGAAGTAGGTTTAGGTGTATTTAAACAATGGTAATCTAGCATTGACCAAAAACACTTTTACTTTTATTTTATTCAATGGTAATAACATGGACAACATAGAGGCAATGCAATATATGGTAATAGCAATAGGAACCAACGAATATAATTTAAATTTTTCACTTACCATTTACATTATTAATTATCGCGGTTTCACTTTCCAAGCAAAATAAAAAGAACGTCACCACCACCACCACAACACGGTGCATTTCGACAGATTGAATGGAGAAAAATAACGTAACATGCCGGTTTATTTATGTTTTGCGTGGAAATACCAATGACGGGTTTGGTAATCCAATTGTTTGTCAAAAGTATGATTCGCTTCTAAGGTCAAAAGTCGTGCATCCTGCGATTACTATCTTTTCCCCAAGATAAAAAAACACTTATAAGGTCACAGATTTGCTTCCGATGATGGCCTGAAAATCGCGATTTTGACGAGCTACCAAACAGTTTTTTTATGGTAGGTATCTGTTTATTGCAAAAATGGTGTTAAATTTAAAACCTACATGCAGGAATGAGGACGAGTCGGCCCGGTCAAGCACGAGCACCAGGAGGAATTCCCAAAGCACGCCTAAGAGACAGTACGATACATGCAGGTACCACTACACATTCGGGAACAAACTGTCAACCACCCTGCAAGGAGAAGTCTTAAAACTCGTTAGAAGCGGTAACCAAACCAGCAGGAATCATGGGAATGACATACAACTAAGCACCACATACAGACTACAGACGTACATACAACCCGTACCACTTAGACCGAAGAGACTCGCTGCAGACAAATTAACGGCAGCGCGAAAATAGTACCAGACCATGATAGAATTGAGAATAGCTCGACTTTCCTCAAGTGATTTGGCATCGTCACTGCATCTGGTGTCTAAGAAATCCAACGAGGAGAAACCATGCGGAGACTACATGGCACAGAACGCCAGAACCTGATCGATATCCAGTTTCGCATATCGTAGACTTTTCACAAGAACTCGCAGGAAACACCGTTTCTTTAACAATCTGTAACCTGACTTTTTCCTGCTTGAACATTTTTCTTAATAAGTGTAGATGTAAGTTAATTACTGTAGTAAATTTGTTATTATCTTGGTACAGATTTTTTATTACCTATAGTTCTTTGTGTCGCCGACCGGGGTCGTCCAGTGTTTTCCGTGGTCATCCCTTCTTTAAGTTTATCTTGCTCGTGCAGTTGTATTTCTTCTCTTCAGTGAAGGTTCAGCTCTCGCCTTGGTTACACGCAAATGTTCTCTTGGAGATACGCCATTGCATTCTTGACTTCCGAGTGTACCTGAAAAGGGCTTAGTGTTGTTGGCTTGCCCATATTATGTTTGAAGTGGTTTCTCTTTCTCTGTGATGTGTTGGTGGCTCCATTGACTGGTATGGGAAAGGACTGTAACCAGTGGGCAAAGGAGTTTCGGATCAAAAACAAATCGAGGCTCTGCTGGAGATACCTGCCCTCCAAGGGCTGAAGACTTGGGGACTGGGACTGAGGCACTATAGAAGACACCTGCATAAAATGGCATGAAGTAGTCGCCCTGTGTAGGGGGCGCTGACAGGTAGAAGGGAATTGAGAACTGGCAGACCGGAGAGTTTAGAATTTTGGTATCCTTCATACACTGTGCAAATAAAAATCGGCCCACATTGGCAGTAGAGATTCGGGACTACCTACAGCGGGATGAAGAAAAAGGTAATTAAAAAGTAGATCGTATATTTGTAATGTTTCTGCATCGTTTAAGATTTAACTATTATAGGTCCTGTTTATTTACCTGTCAAAGTTAAACTTGAAACATGTACCACACACGACACAAACGAATTAGCTATTTTTAGATAACAATTGCAGTGGGGTCTGTCCCTTTTTGTTTATGGCGAATACGTTGGCACCCTTCGCAATTAATAGACGAATCACATCAATGTTCTTTTTTAGATCGGACGAATCAAGAGGAGCACATTCCATATTGACCAATTTGTTATAGGCGTCGGGGCCCAACAGCAAATTTACTATTTCCTTCCCATGGACGGCAATGGCCATGTGCAGTGGTGTGTCTCCTTCCACATTTATAGAGTTGACGTTCGCGCCTTTTAGAAGAAGAACCTCGACCGTTTTCGCATGTAGTTTGATGGAGGCAATGTGGAGCGCAGTTGCGCCGTCATTCCTCGCGTAGTCAACGGGTGCTCCATTCTTGATCAGTGTTGAGGCAACATGATACTTGTCATTCATTGCAGACAACATGAGCGGAGAGTTCCCTTCGTTATTGAGAATGGTCACGGATGCTCCACCGGCAATAAGCACGTCTACGGTATCACTGTTGTTGTTGTACAATGACGCGAGATGGATGGGTGCGTTGCCCTCCGAGTTTTGTGCGTTTACGTTCGCCCCATTTTCGATCAGACGTGAGGTCACGTTAACGAAACCAAAGCGTGAGGAAGAATGAAGGGCAGTGTCTCCAAGTTCGTTTGCGGACTTGACTACTTCTACGGTTTCTTTACAAACTTCCCGTTCTGAAACAAAATCCATAGATTTCAGTATAAAATACAAATTGTAAATCCGATTTCAAATTAGGTCATTAAAGTACCGTGTCATTTTTTTCTGAAATTATTGAAACCAACAAAAACTTAATCTAGCTACGTTTGTTTCTGAGATTCAGGGTGAAAACGAAAAGTTTAACATTGGCCCAAAGTCTTATTTTTAAATGCAACGCCCTGTATATCTTAACGTCAATTTTTTGGATTCTTTTTACCGATTTAATTGAAGTATCACAAGTTATATTTCTTTAAATTTTAACCGTGAACCAAAAATAAAAACCTTGTTTTTTGCTGTTTCTGAATAGTAGGCCATATGGATTAATGGAGATTTTGTTTTTTTTTGTAATAAACTTATTGATAGTCTTAACAAAGCATTTGAAGTTTCTGGATTAACTAGAAAAGTTGGTCTTCTAGTGTTACACATGTAATGAATTCAGACATATCAAGTCGAATTGTCCTAAAGAAGAAGCTCGACTAGAAGAAAACTGACGGCACGTCTTAACGTTCACCAAATTGTTTGAGTAAATGTGACCCGTCCGCCCTCACGTGGTTTGGTGCGATCCAGTGACTACTCTGTTTGTTCACCATCTTGAAACAATACTTGGGAAATGAAGGCCGCTGGTATGAAAAAGCCTTCGGAACCCAAAAGTTCATTGTGACGCGGACTAATTTAAAGGATAGCTAAAAGATTTCAGAATCTGTAATTTGTATATGAAAAATCATTGGAGACCTTAATTTACGGACAACCCTTGTATATATTCTTGCGAAAAGCAGAGTGGGAACGCCGCCCCCACGCGTTCTCGGTCCACTACAACACTGACGATCTACAGATTTGATAAAGAATCCACCTGCAAAATTTCATTGTAATCAGTCCCTTCGTTTTCGAAATAGGTATAGTAGTCCAGGAAATGAAGGTTTCGCCCTGGCAATTTTCTCAAAATGAATCGATTAACTTGAAATTTTGACAGTAGGTAGGGAGTATCCTATGGATGAAAATTTATATCATTACAAAGGGCGCTTTCACCCTGGGGATGGCTGCCACCCTATCTCGGTGGTGGCAATTTTTTAGCACAAGAATAGATAGACAAGTATAAATTGTGCACAATTCTTGTGTAGGTAAAGCGCATTTTTTTAAACCGATATAGCTTAGTAAATGGTGGAGTTATAGGGTAGTAGCATGCTATCGATGTTTACTTTTTTGGTAGATAATTAATGGGGAAGGGGCTCTTTACACATAAACATTTAAAGGCCGTCTGACATACAATCAAAATCCTCCAGCACTCCATTCTGCAGATATTTGCACTGAAAGCTTTGACGTTCCACTTGCCTTTTATGAGTACCCTCTTCCGAAATTTCGTTGTCAAGGTATTTGCTTCGAAACCTTTAATTAGAATACCATGAAAGATAAAATCAATTTCCCTCTCCTTCTCCCACTCATCTCGAAAAAGAGTCGCGCGGGAAAGTTATATACTTTGTACAAACCAATTTATTTCGATGGGACAGGCCTTTCATTAGAATACCATCAAGGATAGAACGTGTGGTGTGTTTGCCCCCCCCCCCCCGGACGGACAAAACGCAAGCAGTAGCACATTTTTTAGAGCATTTTGTAAAATGATCGCTTTTAATCTCACTTTGGCTTACTGGCTGGCTGGCTGGCAGCAAATGCCAGGAGTGTACATGTACGTACCGGGGTCGTGTAATAAACAACTGTGGGATGGTGCTACATTATTGATGTGGGATAGTCGACTTTGGGCGCCCAACATTTTCTTAGAGCTCTAATCGCGGTCTCTCTTTCTCATGTCGCTAATAGAAGCTCGAGCTATGAGAAGCATCTCAAGTTGAGTACTATTTTGTGGCGGGTTTTTAGCGAAATCCACGAAAGTGCGAATTGCGCGTGAACGAGACGTCGGAACTAGGTACCGCAGCCGACAAAGAGAATGCGGTAGCCCCCGACAAGATCTTACTGATGTTGAAGCATAGGCGCCGACTGCGCCGGGGCACAAGGACACGTGCCCCGGCTGGAACAATTTAGGGGGGGGGGGAATGCCACCCCTAGAAATCTCATATACTTTAAGTAAAAACAACAAAAAGGTAGAGTACAAGCCTTTGACGTTGCCTTGTACGGGTATATTCGATTGAGGATGAATTGAGAGTATTTTTACACCTTATTTCTTTCCGTCTTGAGAAATTTTAAGTTTGAACTACTCGTAGTTAGGTATATTTACTTATTATGTACATATAACATAAGTAAGAGAGTAAGTAAATTTTTAAAAATTTTAAAATACAGTAATATAAATTATCTTTGCGTCAAGTTTTTAGTACTCGTAGAAACGGTTGTGCCCCCCCTGGAATTTTTAAATGTCGGCGCCTTTGTGTTGAAGTCAAAACTTCAGACACGAATTGCAGGTGAACGGGAGGTGGGTACCGACAAAGGGAATACAGTAACCCCCAACGAGATCTTACTGTGGTGGTAGAATCAAAACTTTAAACTCGAATTGCGGATGAACGGGACGTCGGAAATGGGTACTGACCTACATACTGACAAAGAGAATGTGGTTGCCCTACACAAGATCTTACTGATGATGGAGTCAACACTGGCTAATCGAATACTGATCTGCCAGAAAAAAATGCGCTGAAGTCCCTTCAATCTCATACGAGGACTTTGATAATTTTTTTAATTCTTAAAAAAAATGCGCTAAAAATTAATTCTAAGCCAAAAGTGTTCTATAAATTTTTTTTGGAAAGTTACCTCTCCAGTTATTCGCGACCGAAAGTATGAGTTTTTCATAGAAAAGATCAATGTTTTTAATTGGTTTATCACGAAAAACTCGAAAAGTATACATTTTATTAAAAAACTGTGGAGAACAAAATCGTAGCTTTTTTAATAAACAAAGGAAATGGTGGTTTTTTAATTATTGCTGTATGACCAATACGAACCGAGCTGTGACTTGTTAAAGGTTAGCTCTTGTTCGTAAAACACTAAATTAGAGAGTTTCACAGTCAAATAACGGCAAAACTATGCATTTTTCGAAAAAACTTGTAGAGTATTTTAAAGTATTTAAAAAACCTTTCTTCTTTTTTTAAAAAACAAACTTTAGCATAAAAATTAAGTGAGTTGCGATGAAAATAAGGTAGATCAGTACTTTTTTCAGGAAAAAAATTTGCGCAAGCAACCTCCTAATTGCCAACCTAATTAAAATTAGTCCTTCCCTTTTTCCAGTTTCCTCTAATTACGTATTATTAATACACTTTAGAAGTGTGACCCAGTAATTTTGAAATAATTCAAACTAAAAGTGAAAAACGAATTTCTGGAATTTTGGGAAAAAGGTCCTTCGCTTCAAAATAACTACAAAACAACTGGAGATACATAAAAATTGCTATAGCATTCAATTGTAGCATTCCAATTCCAAACATTTTCCTCGCCGGGAATGTTCTGTACGACAAAAATTAAGTGAGATATAGACATTTAAAGTGTGTATTTATATGCGAGCACTTTCTTGTTTTAGCCCTTTAAGCTCACCCCATTTTAAAACTAAGAGTTTTAAAGGGATTTGATGTAAATAGCCTTATCTATAGTTTTTTTGAATGCACTTGATCCCAAATTTTAATGCAAATCGAGGCATTTTGAAAGAATTGCCAGGTTTTATACTATTTTAAGTTTCGTTTGTTGGACGCCCCAAATTTTGAACTCGCCAGGCACTCGTTAATAAGCCGATTTTAAGATCCAAATCAATTTTTAAGTCTGTAAAAATGAATCAAATTCTGAATGCACAAGCAAAACAACAAAGCAAACATTTTGGGACCAGGATAAAGAAGATAGACCTTCAAGGTGGGTAGTACAGATTCTGGTTAATGTGTTGATTTCATACATCATAGCAAAAGGATCATGTTGGCGCCATCGTGGAGTTTAAACCACCTCACGTATGTACAGCAAGGGTAATTATCGCGGTACCTACCAAAAGTTTTCGCAATTATTGTTTTGGGACTTGTGTTGGTAGTCTAGAGCATTGTTCAGATAAGGTATCTGGTGCATGCTTGAGGGTAATCATGTACTTCAATTGTAATCTTTGCAACATCCGCTGTAATCAATCAAGACTCAGGACTGAAAAACAATGGTCTGTGATTAGATTTACCTACTCGCGTGCGTGTTTTGGTATAAAAATGTGGAATCTGTCCGAAATTTGAATGAACGTCATTCAGCTAGGAAAATTTCACCATTGCACCATTTCTGCACTGAGAGCCAATGATATTACAAAGTTGACACTTTTTCCTAAACAGTCAATAGGTACTAACAAACGTAGTCTTGAGAAACTAACTAAAGTGAAGTACTTACTGACTTCTTCGGCATTCACAAAAACATCCACCCTATTAAAAATACAAACAACGTAACTAGCAACAAGTAACAATCGCGACATCTTACAAGTCTCGCGACGATGGCAAAACAAAAAACGATAGGTAATATATATCCTTTAATCCACCTTAATCTTTGCAATCTGAAGTGGTCAATTGTGTATCAAACTAAAAACAATGATAAGAGCAGGGATTGTGCAAATTAGACTAATGCACGTTATATGTCATTTATTGAAAATAACATCTTACTACAACCAAAGAGTAACTATAATACTCTTTGCTACAACTCAAGAGGTGTATAAATTGTGACCGAGGAGATGATAGTTGGGTTGATGACTGGACGTTCAGAATGACCTCTTTTGTATATCACTTCATGTATCGGTGATGATAAAGTAAAAGTAAAACAAAAAACAACTGTAGGCTTGTTTAAGTAATACTTAAATAATTAGATTTTATCTTGCCCCACCTAATGAGTGAGATAAAGTAAGGTGAGAAGAGAAATTATCTGAAAACATCAAGCAAGCGATCAATAGTAGTTATAACAAAGACATTTCCTCACGGGAAAGGCATGAAAAAGGGCATTTATTTTCTTTCAGTTGCAAATGCCTAAACCATCTGCATTTTGCTGAATATTTTTGGGTT